CTTCAATGTCATCTGGAGGAAATTCGATCAGATCTCTCAGAGGTCCTGACTCTATAATGGGAGGGTGTGTGATCAAATACTCTTCAAAATCCACTGGCTCTATTGCCTCTGTCAGAGGAATCTGTAGAGAGAAATTCAAAGAGGAAATAAAGAGAATGTGAGAAGAACTGTTGCCACTATCCACCAAGACAGACAGTCTCACACTGAAGGGATAGTAGGGGTATATACTTTCTGAAGAGTCAATCTCTCAGATTTAGCACAGAAAAGTATATTATCTTGGAAATGTTTTACTTACAGCATTGCTTGTGGCATTCCCACCCACACTGAGGTTTTTGAGAAGTTGAGGAGAGCCTCCGTACTGACCAGCAATCTGCTTCCTGACCTCAGCTGCTACAGTCCTGGAGAACAACAAGAGAGCGTAGATGGTATTATAATACAAACCACAAAAAAGATTCCCATGACCTGACAGTCATCTCATATGCAAGATAAATCATAGAATGAAGGCTATGGAGAGTGGACTACACAATTACTACGAATGCATACTATTGTTCGAAGTTTGGGGTTAGTAAGATAATAATACACAATATTTGTTTTGTTGTTGAAAGAAATGAATACTTTAATTCAGCAAGGATGCATTAAATTGATCAGAAGCGATAGTAAAGATGTTTATAATGTAACACGATTTCAGTTTTAAATGCTGCTCTTTTGAACTCTAGACTAGTCATGAAACATTCTGGAAAAAATACATCATGGTTTCCACAAAAATAATAAAACAACTGTTTTCAATTGTTTTCAACATTGATAATAATAATAGGCTAATTAAGAAATGTTCATTGAGCACCAAATCAACATATTATAATTAACTCTGAAGAATCGTGTGACAATGGAGTAATAACTTTTTCATTACAGGAATACTAGATTTTAACATTTTAAAAAATAGTTATTTGACTATGATATGAGAATATTTCACATTTTTATTTATTTTTACTGTTTTTTTATTATTATTATTAAATAAATGCAGCCTTTGTGAACATAAGAGACTTCTTTCTGAAACATTAAAAGATCTTACCAACCCCAGATATGTTTTCGAAAGGAAGTGTAAAACACAACAGTTGTCGCATGACCTCGCTAGGTTTGCATGTTTAATTCAATGCCATCATCACCTTGTAAACAAATATGGTTATTTTGCATTTTTATATAAGACTAAAGTGTCTTTCTTAAAATGTGACCCAACAAATTGTTCATGATAATTATTACTGACTTGTCCATCCCACTGGAAATCAAGCACACAGCATTATAAAAAAAACAGCACTACAGTACAGTAAAACATCATCCATGTATTCCAGTAATTGGTACAGTATGCAAATTGCTTCCTGCTTAAATGAAACAAGTAGTTATGCCATTCCAAACAGCCATCTTTTATGGTCTTGCCTCAGGCTTTTGTAAATAACAACAATGTATGATAAATTAAATAACAAATACAGCATATAGGGCTCACTATTTTACATGTTTATCCAACAAAATATCCTTTAAGATGACCACGCACAATCAGGGAGGAGGAATAGTCAAAAAAGACACAAAAGCATACTACTAATGGATATTTAATGGGACTCGGCTTGGCAAGTTCACATCAATTTTTTTTTAAATAAATAAAAAAAATATATATATATATATATATGTATATCCACACAGACACACTCAAGTGCCTGTTGCTTATGTCTGCCAACAGCTTATTGCCAAAGGTAAATTTCATTACTATTGAGTATAACATAAGATTCATTGTATTACTTTTTTTTTTTACTTTTAGATTCACAGACTGAATTATAGCTAGCTGAATTATATTTCTGCAGTAAGAGTCAAATTGGCAGTATTATTTTTCAGAATGTCTTTGTAGTGCATCAATATTACTAATCAGAATCCTCTTCTACTACGTGTAGGGATGACGTACATACACCAAAACAAAAACTCCGCCTCAGTTGCTTCTGGAGGGACCTTTATTTAGGCTGGACATTCCTGAAGAGGGAACATATGATTAGCCCACAGATGTTTTGTTTACCGAGGACCGGGCTAAGCATGAATTTCGGTGCATTTCACACACCTCTGAAAAAGTCTTAACAGAGTCATGAGAAACCGTTTCAGTGACTTACGAGAAAAGCTTTCAGATCCAATTAGCACTGCATTCAATAAAAATAAAATGGAAAAAAGGGGGAAATCCACAATGTTCAGAGTTTTCACTTTTGTTTTGACTGTGAAAAAATTTGAAATACATTGAATTTTCTGAGACTTTATATTATATATACTATCGGTAATAATAATAAAACATCTACTGACTTATTCCTCAATGAATAAAACAAAATAGTTTTTGATCATATCAATAAACATGTATTTCTATGTAGTTAGTAAGAACTAACGATTGGAATAAGGGTGCCAACAAGTCTATATTGAATGATCTTATCACATTACACGTCACTGAGAAAACAACAACATTTTTAAGCATCTGGGATATGCCATGTAAAAAACACCGGGGAGATAGGTCCCTTCCTTTTTAGATCCATGAGCTCTAATCTGTGACTTATCATCACAAAAAAAAATCTCAATTGAAAAATTATGTCTAAAGTCAATGATGAGACTTAATTATATTCTATTACAATAACCCAGGGACCCTGGCCTGCTCCATAACGTACAGGCCACTAGCCAAAATCTTGCAGATTTCATTTAAGCATCAATCACAGTGTCATTACAGGGCTAAGTAACTGATTAAATTTAATCATACATTGTATTTCAGGTTATTTTAGATCTTATTCTGAAATTGCCTTTATGACCACTACATCATGCAATCTGACCACTTGTCAGTTGAAGTTGATATTCTCTGATACAAAATAAATGGCTATGCATTATTATTACTCTTACTACTCATAATATGCATAATTATGATCTCTTGCCGTAAAGTCATTGTTTACATTATTTTTAAATATGCATTCTTTTTGATTTAATGAATCATATTCTTGAAATCAAAATCGTAGTGAACTGTACATTTACAATATTGAATATTGACTGCTGCCGTAATATATTTCATGTATTGCATACTGACAGCATAACATCTCATGATCCTATCGATGTGTCAGTATGTCAAGCCATCGTCTCACAAAACCCAAACACTGCATTCCATTGATCCACTCCAAGTCTGCATCGTTAATTCCCTAATACTCAACAAAAGGCGCATTTGTGGATTTTATACACCCAGCGATGAAGACTGATTTTAATGCACAGAAGCACAAAGGCATCATACTGCTGTCTTGCAGCTTAGGGTGGGTCACTCGGGCATCTCTATGGCTGTGACTCAAAAACTAGAGAGCTGTCTACATAGCAGCATTCCAGACGAGCTTATCCGTCTCAGACGTGTAGGCTGGGTAGGGAACTCACTAGGTTTTAAAACACAGCCTATAAATCAGGGTCTGATCCAGCTAACTCAACGCCTAGGCCTTATTTGGAAAAGACTGGCACACTCGCCAACTGCATCAAGCAGAATACAAAGAATGGTCGCACGGCTCGGGGCGAACATATATATATAAACAGAAGATGCGTTAGATATCCTTACCTGCTGATTTTTTGGGCAAAGGCGCGGCGCTCAGCCATGACTGTAGCCGCTGAGTGCTCGAGTAACTCCACTCCAGCGCTCCCAGTCCCAGCCGCGATATTCCTTCCCCACCCGTACCCGAATTCCGTTAAGCCCCACCCCCTGACTCCCCAAAGACGTCTGTGATTGGACAGTTGCAAAGTCACTCACAAAACCGTAGTAACCATAATAAACAGTGAGAGTAGCTCAGGGGCAGGAAAACGCACAAGGAGAAGAACGTACCGTAAAACTGGAAAAACAAGCGCAGATATTTTACAGATGAAATGAAATTATTATCATTGTTGTTGTTTTTTTGTCTATTTGTTTTTTAGATTTTTCTTTAGCAGCATGACATTTTATAGGGAATTAACAGTGCAGTCTTTTGGGATCGTGGGGCTGGAGTCCTCCTATGATTCATATCCTGTGCCTACAATAGAGGGCTCTTTTACAGGAAGCTATCAATGTTTAAAAAGTGTGAAATACATCCGTTTCCACTTCCACGGATAGTGCAATCTGTAGTCAATGACATCTTTATTTGTGTATAACCACATCGTTGTTTGTTTTTTTTTTTTGTTTTTTTGTAATATTCATGCTTTGAGCATTCGATAACTAATAACATTGCAAAGAGAAATAGGCTATGTTAGCTTGAAGAAAAGAAAGCTTAGAGAAAAGATAGGCCTACTTATTTCATTTGATAATTAAAAAAGTAGATTTCAGCCCTTAACAAGCAAGAGTGGAAAATAATCAGCGAAAAATAATTTAATGTCAATTTTTATTTACTACATCTCCACTAAAGTAAAGCATATCCAAATGAGTTTTTGATATGATTTGGTATATTTTGGATGTCTCTCCCATGAATAAGTTATTAAGGTATTTAAAAAAAAAGTGATCCATAGCATGTGATATCGTTCGATTCGTGAAGGAAAATCCAACCGTTTACAAAACCCATCTAAACGATTATTCGTTTACGCAGTACTGAACAAAGTATTTGTAACGTTATTACAAAATATTGTTCACTACGTTTTATCAATAAACACATAGCCTAATTAGTTGCTTTTAATATTGTAACTGGTAGCTATCAAATAACACGTGGGTCTAACCGGAGCTAAATTATGCTAATAACACTTTCACTAACCTAATCCCTAACATGAAATTGTAAACCCGTAATAAGCACCATGTATCTCCAAAGGTTATTAACTTTTTTTTAAAAAACAAAAACGAGTGGTTCAAAAGAACCGGTTGGAAATGAGTCAGACATCCACTAATCCAAGCCATGTAATTTAGAGGTATGCTCTGCAATAATCCAGACGACCCCATGAATGTGCCAGTCTGCCAGACAGACCATGGTGGTGCCAGACCATAAAAAAGAAGGGAGAATTTCTTGAAATACCGCGAGACCCAACGAGAATAGCCACTTCCTCAAAATGTAAACAGAAGTGAGCAGTTGCACAGTGAGTTCTTCTGTATAACAAGACATGTGAGCAAGTGTCTTTTTATATATTTAATTGTTTATTTTACAATCCGTTCGCATTTGTATTTATTGTAGACAACGTCGTAACGTTTTGAAGTGTAACGCTACGCTCACTTATTAATTAGCATACTAGCCTCTTTTCTGTGCTGCAATTGTGTTAATACGGTCGTATTCTGATGATTATTATATTTTCTATCCAACTTTATTATGGAAATGTGATCTGTGTGAGTAAATGAGTTAAATGACATCTTTCCACTACGACATAACTTGTTTTGGTTATACTGAAAACTTTTAATAGAAACTCCATCGTATGTGCTGTGATGGGTTCTGCTCCGTGGCTAATATTAAAATGGAGACTAAAGAGACCGACGAGGTGGAGAAACTGAAGTCCAAGTTTATGTCAGCATGGAACAATGTGAAGTACAGTATGTATTGACAGATCTCACTGGGATGTTAATTGCAGTCAAGTGACATACCTGTGCACGTGACTAATCTTCTTTAACCCTTCAAGGTTGGGCTCTCAAATCAAAAACTGCCTTCAGCCGTAATTCTCCTGTTTTCTTGTTGGGGAAATGCTACCACTTCAAGGCTGTGGGTAAGATGTTTTATACATAACATTTACACCAATTTCTTATTCTGTCATGCTTCACATTCTATTTTTATTTAAAGGGATCATGAATATCTAATTTTCTTTAATGTAGGTCATATTGTCCTGTAAAAAACTCTCAGAACTTAACTTCCTCAGTAGTCCAATAAGTTGTTTTTTTTTTGTTTTTTTTATTGAAACCATATTATGATGTAATAAAATGATGGCTCTAATTTCTCACACCGATACACCGGGTGTGAATGTTTGAATGAATGTTTGTTCTAACTGTTGCCCTTCAGATGATGAAAGTCCTACTGAGAGTTGTTCTGCTGAGGCATTAGATGTCGATGTTGTCACAGGCAATGTTGATGGATTTCGAAGGGATTTCACCTCACGAGTTTGGCTGACCTATCGAGAAGTGTTTCCCGCCCTTCCAGGCTCCACCCTTACTTCAGACTGTGGGTGGGGTTGTACAATTCGGGCAGGGCAGATGATATTGGCCCAGGCTCTCATGCTTCACATCTTGGGTAGAGGTAAGATCGGCTGGAGAGAGAATCGGTTATGATGATGATGATGATGATGATGATGCGTAATGAGTAGATGCATTCAGCATCTGCCCACTTTTCTATTATATATACCCTCACCTAAAGGATTATTTGGAACACCATAATACTGTGTTTGACCCCCTTTCACCTTCAGAACTGCCTTAATTCTACATGGCATTGATTCAACAAGGTGCTGAAAGGCTTCAATAGAAATGTTGGCCCATATTGATAGGATAGCATCTTGCAGTTGATGGAGATTTGTGGGATGCACATCCAGGGCACGAAGCTCCTGTTCCACTAATGCCAAAGATGCTCTATTGGGTTGAGATCTGGTGACTGGGGGCCATTTCAGTACAGTGAACTCATTGTCATGTTCAAGAAACCAATTTGAAATGATTCAAGCTTTGTGACATGGTGTATTATCCTGTTGGAAGTTGCCATTAGAGGATGGGTACATGGTGGCCATTAAGGGATGGACATGGTCAGAAACAATGCTCAGGTAGGCCGTGGCATTTAAACAATGTCCAATTGTCACTAAGGGGCCTAAAGTGTGCCAAGAAAACATCCCCCATACCATTACACCACCACCACCAGCCTGCACAGTCGTAACAAGGCATGATGGATCCATGTTCTCATTCTGTTTACGCCAAATTCTGACTCTACCATCTGAACAGAAATCGAGACTGGCTACATTTTCCAGTCCAACTGTCCAATTTTAATTCTTTTTCCTATTTGTAGTGGAGATTAGTGGTGCTCGGTGGGGTCCTCTGCTGTTGTAGCCCATCGGCCTCAAGGTTGTTCGTGTTGTGGCTTCACAAATGCTTTGCTGCGTACCTCGGTTATAACGCGAGTGGTTATTTCAGTCAAAGTTGCTCTTCTATCAGCTTGAATCAGTCGGCCCATTCTCCTCTGAACTCTAGCATCAACAAGGCATTTTCGTCCACAGGACTGCCACATACGGGATGTTTTTTCCCTTTTCACACCATTCTTTGTAAACCCTAGAAATGGTTGTGCGTGAAAATCCCAGTAACTGAGATCAGATTGTGAAATAGACCGGCCCGTCTGGCACCAACAACCATACCACGCACAAAATTGCTTAAATCATCTTTCCTTCCCATTCTGACATTAGTTTGGAGTTCAGGAGATTGTCTTGACCAGGACCACACCCCTAAATGCATTGAACCAACTGCCATGTGATTGTTTGATTAAATAATTGCATTAATGAGAAACTGAACAGATGTTTCTAATAATCCTTTAGGTGAGTGTACACTTTCGTTCAAAAGTTTGGGATCGTTAAGTTTTATATTTTTAAAAGAAGTCTCTCATGATCCCCAAGGCTGCATTTATTTGATTAAAAATACAACAACAAAAAAAATGTGCAAAGCTGAATTTTCATCATCATTGCTCCAGTCTTCAGAGTCACATGATCCTTCAGAAATTATTCTAATATGATGATTTGCTGCGTTTAATATTATTAGTTAAAACAGTTTTGTAAAAAAAATCAAGATTCTTTGACGAATAGAAAGTTCAAAAGAACAGTATTTATCTGAAATTGAATGTTATATATAATAATGTGTATATATATATATATATATATATATATATATATATATAAGAAGTGTTGAAAACAAATTGTACACAACTGTTTAAGACTGATAATAATAATGAATGTTTTTGTATTTTGAATTAAATAAATACAGCCTTGGTGAGCATAAAAGACTTCTTTCAAAAATGAGAGAGAGAGAGAGCTCACGAAAAATGTTCTGGTGTGAAATATAATTAGACAAAGCTTTTCTCATTTACATAATGAAATTCTTATTAAAAAAGTATTTTAGAGGTTGGGGTTGAGGTATTTCAGTGCCAGAGGTTTTCACTAAAGAATGAGTTCTCAAATGATTAACAGAGGGCAGTTTTGTGTAATATGTTGAACAGGCCACGGCATTTATCAGTTTAATACCTTCATTCAAAAAACAACATTGAAGCGTCATCCAGAGCCCACGCCTATAATGAAATATGTCATTATAGAAATATCTGTCTATAAAGACTCTAACGGCTAATAAAATATACTTATTGGCCAATTACAGGCCTTGACACTTAGCAAGGTCATTACCTAATGGCCCCACTGCCAGGTCCGGCACCTTTATGACCCTCAGCACTTCAGACACCCACTCTGTTTGTGAGGATAAAATGTAGTAAAAGTGAAATACTGACTACATTGAATATCATAATTGGACTTTTGTTCTAGCCCAAGCCCTACTGTCCATTTAAAAGTCAAATTTATGTCTGTCACATTTGAAAAAATCTAGGACAAACTTTCAGGAGTTCTGAAAGACCTTTGCTTCATTGTTTCTTAATGCAACGTATGGATATAACTTGAGGTAGTTAACAAAATAAAAATTAGTATTAAGAGAATGGCATATTATTAACAACTGATGTTGAAAAGTAAATGCAAATCAAGCTCTGCAAAAGTATTTACTTTCTGCATCCTTAAAAAACAAAAGTATTTTTCTCTTTTTTTTTTTATTTTTTCAAATAATTTTTTCTGTCACCAGACTGGACCTGGTCCGAAGCACTGACCTTGGAGCCGTTGGATGCAGAGACATGGACCAGCAGTGCTGCACGGAGACTGGTGGCCACATTAGAGGCCTCCATTCAGGGAGAAAGAGTACAGGTCACCCTGCCTCTCTGTCCTGCTCAAGGAGGGGCTGAGGAGGCCGACTCATACCTACAAGAGGCATATCATCGCACCATTGTGTCCTGGTTTGGGGACGGACCATCAGCCCAGCTGGGCATCCACAGACTAGTGCAGCTAGGAATGACTTCTGGAAAACAGGCTGGAGATTGGTACGGCCCAGCAGTGGTGGCACACATACTCAGGTAAAGAGTCCACAATACATACATGTTTTTATAGTTTTTAAGTCACCCATTCCTCATTATAATGTTTAGGATGTCAAATATATCTCACCTTGTCACTCTTTCTTCCTATACATCCCCTAGAAAAGCTGTGGATGAGGCAGCAGATGCAATGCTGAAAGGGATAAGTGTTTATGTAGCACAGGACTGCACTGGTATGGAACATTTCGATCTAAAATCTTTCACAGAAAAAGGGCAAATGTGATTAATAGAAGACTTCTGACATTTAAAACCACTAGTGAAATTGCTTATACTTTGTCTTTTTATTTATTATAAATATTAATAAAAAATAATTATTTTATAAGCAAAAAGTCCATCAAAGTCCGGTTTCAACAAAAAATATTATACAACCATTTTCAGCTCTGATAATAGTAAGAAATGTTTCTTGAGCAGCAAATCAACATATTAGAATGATTTCTAAAGGATCATGTGACACTGATGACTGCTATAATGACTGCTGAAAAGTCTTTGCCATCACGGGAATGAATAACATTTTAAAATAGTTTAGAAAATAATCCATTAATTCTTTTCAATTGTAATATTGCACAATATTACTGTTTTTTTATTGTATTTTTGATCAAATAAATGCAGTCTTAATAGTAATAGTAGAATAGTAGTGTGTGTGTGTGTATATATAATATAAATCAACATACTCGCAGACATAATACAATTGTAGCTTGGAAAGTTACCCGAGTTTGGAAAACTGCGTTCACATCATCCAAACGAACCAAAGTCTGTTGTCAATCGAACCCGGGTGCGCACCAAAAGTGCTAGTGTGAAAGCAGAAAGCACCCTTAGATTCAGTAATGGCTTTATTTTTCCCACTTCACATGTAAAGTACCTGTTTTTTGACCTCTGTTGTTGATTGTTTGCAGTGTACAGTGCTGATGTTATTGATAGCCATTCAGCGCAGAAAAGCAGCCACTGTGATCCTCAGGGACTCAATACTGGAGCTGTCCCTGATAGTAGAGCTGTCATCATCCTCATTCCTGTGAGATTGGGTGGAGAGAAGATCAACCCAGAATACTTAAGCTTTGTCAAGGTGAGGCTTTGGTATGGAAGCTTGTTTCCACCACAGAATAAAACATTTTAAAAGATAATTGCAACTTTTTATCTCGCAATTGCGAGTTTATATCTTGCAATTGACATCTTTTCTCCGAATTGTAACATATAAACTTGCAAATGCGAATTATGAAGTCCAATTCTAAGGGAAAAAGACTAATATATCTTCCAATTGTGTATTATAAAGTCAGAATTGCGAGATCTAAAAATGCAATTCTGAGAAAAAATGAGTTTAGTTCCTGCAATTGCAAGTTTACATCTCGCAATTCTGACTATAACACACAATGGAAAATTTATGTCGCAATTCCGAGTTTATATCTCGCGATTGACATCTTTTCTCCGAATTGTAAAATATAAACTTGCAAATGCGAATTATGAAGTCCAATTCTAAGGGAAAAAGACTAATATATCTCACAATTCTGACTTTATAACACACGATTGCTACTTTATATCTCCCAATTGTGTTATAAAGTTAGAATTGCAAGATCTAAACATACAATTCTGAGAAAAGAAAAAAAAAAACGTTAGAATTGAGTTTAGTTCCTGCAATTTCAAGTTTATATCTCAAATCAATTTAATGAGATAAAAAAAAAGTCAGACTTACGAGATTTAAGTCGCGATTACCTTTTTTAATTTGTATTCTGTAGCGGAAACGAGCTTCTATACTTTGGAGATCACCCTTTTGTACAAATAAAAACTAGATCATACAATGACAAAAAAAAGAGAAATCATTGTTAAAGAAGTGGCTATAAACTTACAATACAGTGATCTTAACTGTGTGCTCTTTTTCTTTCCTCCTCAGAGCATATTAAGCTTAGAGTACTGTATCGGCATCATTGGAGGAAAGCCAAAGCAGGCCTACTATTTTGTTGGATTTCAAGGTTAGTTTTTTATTCACAAGTCATTGTGCACACTCTTCAAGCATGCTAAGAGAAGGCCAGCGGCATCAGAGAAGCTTTTTATTTTTTTCCCGAACCCATCAAAAATACTACACCATTTATCATGTGAGGCAATCTGAAATAGCAGGCTCTCTCCACTTACATAAGTAGCTTGCATAGATTTCAGAGCTACCCAGAGTAGCCCACTCTCCATCACCTTCAGTAGCCAGTGGAAACCTTCAGTTGGACATGTTGGTAGTCAATATTTACCCATTTACATTTTAGCAATTTGAAACACACTCGGCGATGATGTCTAAATGACAAGCAATACATTCTCCCTGCCAGGCCCAGTCCGTCGTCTGCATTCATCATATGCAAATGACGTATTATAATTGCATGTTTGTAAAAGTAATTTCTCCCCACCAAAATTAAATGACAGCCCCCTTTGCTGCATAAAGAATGTGCTTGTACAACCAGATTCGATTATGCGGCGTTTAATCCAACCGAGTTTAGGAGGAACCAAAAAAAATTCTCGTATTTGATTGTTCGAAGCCCAACTGGGGTGGGTGACTTTGAGCTGCTCTGCATAGAAATTGGGCAAGGATGGGCATTATAATAATCACTGTGTTTTTTGAATAACTTGTCTTTTGTTTTGTCCTTGCAGATGACAGCTTGATTTACATGGATCCTCATTACTGTCAGTCTTTTGTGGATGTCAGCACAAGCGATTTCCCTCTGCAGGTAATGTGGAATTACAAAAAGCTGACCGCCGCACAGTGATGTGAATTTAATAGTTTCTGTACTTAAGGGTATGAATCTGAAAGTAGACCTCCACACTCAATTACGAACGCTCGAGATTTACATTGTTCTGGTCTTTGTATCAGCTCCAACATTTTATATAGCTCCAACGATGCATCATAACTTATTTTTACGCTTTTTGAATGCTGTAGAAAGTGGCCTGGCGAAAAAGAGAAATATTGGGCCATACTTTTTACTCGGCTGTCTAAGCCTTTCAGATCTCCGGCAGAATTCAACATTTGTCAAAAAGTAGAATTTTTTTTTATTTCTGCAATCTGATTGTTTCGCCTGAACACGCATCCATCATTTGGAACCGCAGGATCGAACAGTTTAACACACCTATTGCGCTGTAGATGGATATTACAGACGGAAATGTATATAATTCTTTAGTTGTGCGTATGGATTACTGTGATTTCACAAACATGGAAAACAAATTGCTGCTTTTGACTCATCTTTTTTCTTCTTTAAAGTCCTTTCATTGCCCATCACCAAAGAAAATGCCTTTCAGTAAAATGGACCCGAGCTGTACCATTGGATTCTACTCAAAAAATGTCGAACACTATGAAAGAATTTTCAACGAACTTTCAAAGGTGGGTAAACCTTTCAATAACATTTGTTTATGTTTTAATTGAATATTGAAGAACAATATCCATATTTTTTAGATGATAAATGGCATGTTAATTTTAATTTTAAAATGTTGTATGTCTAAATTCACAAAATGTCCAAGAAAAAAACAGAAAAATATTTAGAAAAGCAGCTATTTGAGTTTCCGTCAGCAGGTGGCAGCATTTAACTAGGTAATTTGAAACTGTGAAACTATTGGCGCTGCTCCCATCAGAGACTACTGTTAGGGGCAAATGTTGTGTTATTTTATACATTTTGGGTTGATAAACAGTGTTTGTTAATTTGCTAGATATTGGAGCCCTCGTCGAAAGAGAAGTACCCTGCATTCACCTTTATGAAGGGACACTGGAAGGATTATGAACTTTCGATGGCTGCAGAAAAGCGAGAATGGCCTTTCATCAGGGACTCAAGAAAAGCAGGGACAACATCAGGAGACTTTGTGCTGCTCTGAGAGAACCCTTCAAGCCTCTAACCAAGAGCCAAGTGATGCACCACAAATCAGGGCTGTATTAACATGACACTGGGCCTAAACTATAGAACCCTCAGAAAAAGCCATTTAACAAAGAGACCAATCAGTGCATTCACTAGCTTCACAGAGTTGGCCATTTAACTGAACCCATACTGATGTCAATAATTCTGCGCAGTTTAATCCAGAGATGGTGATCATAGTCTGGGATGTTTCATGCACATGGGCCATCCACATTTGTTTTGATTGCAATTTTATTTACTAACTAAACCAGGAAACATTTCAGTGTGTGCTCGGGTACATGCAATGGACATGCGTGGTTAATACATATATTTTTTTTAACAAGAATGTATTTTTTTCTCAATAGAATCATGTTATAATTAATTTTTTTTTAAAACAATGACTCAAAACACATATCTAGTGTACTTTTTTGAAAGATTTACATTATATGGTGATTTAACTTCACAAAACGTAGTTTTATGTTATATTAACTGGAAGAATAATGTGCCTTTACAAGTAAGTAGAAAACACTGTATGACGTATAACTAAATATAGTGTTAGCTAGATTTAAAAAAAGCCCTTTCTGCTGCCAGCGTTTTTAGAAATCTTAGTCATAGTGCATTGATATGCAAGGAAACTGTGCTTAATATAAGATTAATTAATGTCAATTAACAACAATACAGTAGCCAATATGAAAAAAACATTATTTCAGCGCTACAAAAATCTTTGGGAGCTCACTGTGTTATTTTTTATGGTGTAATGGGTGAGTCAAGTTTATTTTCTTGGTGATGTATCATTTTAACAAAATTGTAAATTTGATGATACTGATCTGCCATGAATAGCTTTAATTTTTGTTTGAACCAAAGCACTTGGCATTGAACAAAATTGTAACACTAGCTCTAATACAATGTTGATATATTATAGGTAACTGGCATCATTTTTTTTTTCTTTTATTTATTCAAACATATTAAATCCACCATTTGTCAATTTTAAGAGTTGTGTAAATTGTAGTTAATAATTTGAACAAAATAATTTGTTGTAACACCATACTTTGATTGCCAAAATCATTTTGCACAATGAACGTTTCAGTTTTATAATTGTTGGTTTCAAAAATGAAAAATAAATCTAATATGGTTAAATAATCAAAATGTGTTTCTGCAATCTGTAATAACCTACACGATTTATTTTAAGTGGTTCAACTTTCGTTCTTTGTTATTGAGCTATTTTTTTAGTCTATTATCAATTCATCTTCTCAACAAACACTCCAAATGACCCGCACTTACTAACTCCTTTTCATAATCCATTCGTGGAACAGATCTGTATGGTGATCTATTCATCATCCTTGTGTTGGACTCAGTGTTGCCATGGTTAATTCTTCTGTTTCTTTTCCGTTTGAGCAATGCTTTGCTATTTTCATGTTAAATACAAATTCTTATATTAATAAGGTCATGGCCCATAGGGTCTGGTTGGGGGAACAATCTGTGGAACCAAGCAAGCAGAATAAGTCACTGCCTGTCTCACCACTACATGTTGTGAAGACGGAAGCAGCGACGCACAATAGCCCCATCGTCTCAGTGTCTGTGATCAGTAAATTCATTTTAGGCTGTATTTAGGAAACATAGGGGGAGAGCGGAAAAAGGGAAGATTGGGACATTAGGGGTGAGGCAACATGCCGCCCTTTCCGTCAGTGTTACATGAAAGGCCGCTTGTGCTGGGAGGCATGGCTGCTTTGAGAAGACTTTGTGTTCGAGCCGTATTTTTATGATGCTGCCTGTATGAATATTTGATTAATGAATCATTCTCTCCTGAGGGGGGACCTCTGTATCTCAACAGCGGCTACTGGACCATGCCAGACCTCATCTCTCTGTTATAGCACAGCTGCCAATAGAGGCATTGATTCCGACAGATTCCTTAAAATCTAATCTGCTCCGGCGAGCGAATTCCACAGATGAAAGAAGCGGAATTCTCAGAGAGGCTTCGTTTTGCAGACAATTTGGATTGAATAAAGTTTTCTCTCTTCTCTCTCTTTTTGATATGCATTTTGACAAGATAGGATATGACATAAGGTTTTTTTGCTGCAGGCTGTAATGGGGAAAGTGCAGTCATTCATTCAGAAAGAACTATCAACAATCAGTTCAGTGTTAATGTCTTTCTTTTAGTTTCTAAGACCATCTCTTGTAAAAACCCAAGCAAAATTAGACAATGCACTGGATCGCTTCCTCCAGATGGAAATAGACACACATTTACACCAAGTTTAGGAAAGTCTGTATAGATAGATAGATAGATAGATAGATAGATAGATAGATAGATGGATGGATGGATGGATGGATGGATGGATGGATGGATGGATGGATGGATGGATGGATGGATGGATGGATGGATGGATGGATGGATGGATGGATGGATGGATGGATGGATGGATGGATGGATGGATGGATGGATGGATGGATGGATGGATGGATGGATGGATGGATGGATGGATGGATGGATGGATGGATGGATGGATGGATGGATGGATGGATGGATGGATGGATGGATGGATGGATGGATGGATGGATGGATGGATGGATGGATGGATGGATGGATGGATGGATGGATGGATGGATGGATGGATGGATGGATGGATGGATGGATGGATGGATGGATGGATGTTTTGTGCATTGAATGTCACTGGGTTTCAAAACAACACTGGAATTACCAAACCAATAAAGAAATATATTACTAATACTATTTTACTGTATAAGAAAAAATAATTTTTATGTTGTTTGTTTTATTATACAAACCCAATTCCATAAAAGTTGGGACACTGTACAAATTGTGAATAAAAACAGAATGCAATGATGTGGAAGTTTCAAATTTTAATATTATATTTAGAATACAACATAGATGACATATCAAATGTTGAAAGTGAGACATTTTGAATTGCCATGTCAAATATTGGCTCCTTTTGGATTTCATGAGGGCTACAAATTCCAAAAAAGTTGGGACAGGTAGAAATAAGAGGCCAGAAAAGTTAAATGTACATATAAGGAACATCTGGAGGACCAATTTGCAACTTATTAGGTCAATTGGCAACATGATTGGGTATAAAAAGAGCCTCTCAGAGTGGCAGTGTCTCTCAGAAGTCAAGATGGGCAGAGGATCACCAATTCCCCCAATGCTGAGGCAAAAAAATAGTGGAGCAATATCAGAAAGGAGTTTCTCAGAGAAAAATTGCAAAGAGTTTGAAGTTATCATCATCAACAGTGCATAATATCATCCAAAGATTCAGAGAATCTGGAACAATCTCTGTGCATAAGGGTCAAGGCCGGAAAGACCATACTGAATGCCCGTGATCTTCGGGCCCTTAGACGGCACTGCATCACACACAGGAATGCCACTGTAATAGAAATCGCAACATGGGCTCAAGAATACTTCCAGAAAACATTGTCAGTAAACACAATCCACCGTGCCATTCACCGTTGCCGGCTAAAGCTCTATAGGTCAAAAAAGAAGCCATATCTAAACGGGAACCAGAAGCGCAGGCGTTTTCTCTGGGCCAAGGCTCATTTAAAGTGGACTCTAGCAAAGTGGAAAACTGTTCTGTGGTCAGACGAATCAAAATTTAAAGTTCTTTTTGGAAAACTGGGACGCCATGTCATCCGGACTAAAGAGGACAAGGACAACCCAAGTTGTTATCAGCGCTCAGTTCAGAAGCCTGCATCTCTGATGGTATGGGGTTGCATGAGTGCGTGTGGCATGGGCAGCTTACACATCTGGAAAGGCACCATCAATGCTGAAAGGTATATCCAAGTTCTAGAACAACATATGCTCCCATCCAGACATCGTCTCTTTCAGGGAAGACCTTGTATTTTCCAACAAGACAATGCCAAACCACATACTGCATCAATTACAACATCATGGCTGCGTAGAAGAAGGATCCGGGTACTGAAATGGCCAGCCTGCAGTCCAGATTTTTCACCCATAGAAAACATTTGGCGCATCATAAAGAGGAAGATGCAACAAAGATACCAACAAAGATACCGATAGCAACCTAAGACAGTTGAGCAGCTAGAAGCCTTTATAGAATGGGACAACATTCCTATTCCTAAACTTGAGCAACTTGTCTCCTCAGTCCCCAGACGTTTGCAGACTGTTATTAAAAGAAGAGGGGATGCCACACAGTGGTAAAAATGGCCTTGTCCCAACTTTTTTGAGATTGTTGATGCCATGAAATTTAAAATCAACTTATTTTTCCCTTAAAATTATGCATTTTCTCAGTTTAAACATTTGATATGTCATCTATGTTGTATTCTAAATCTAATATTGAAATTTGAAACTTCCACATCATTGCATTCTGTTTTTATTCACAATTTGTACAGTGTCCCAACTTTTATGGAATTCGATTTGTATTTGACAGAATTATTACTAAAAACTATATTTTTTAAACATGAAACTGTAATAAAGAAATATAGCTGCAAGCAGCAATTATCAGGGCCAAGCGCAAAGAAGACCCCGTCGTGCCCCCTTAATTCTTAAAAGAAATATGCCCCATTGAATGCTGTTGCAACCCCTGCAGTATCCTTGAGAACCACCAATGCCCCACACTTTGAGAACAACCAATAAGAGAATATTTAAAGATGATTTTAGACAAAATGGCTGGAAAATCTTACAGTAACTAAAAAATGTGATTTAATGGATTATCAAGACACATACCAAGTTTTGTAATGGAACACCAATGCATTCGTAAAGTCTTGCATTTAATTTCATGATATTATATTGTAATTAATGGCATTGTCCTTATTTTGTTCTATTATAGCACCACCAAGTGGTGCATTTCCACCACTTTTTTTATGTGTTCTCAGAGTGAGCCCATACATGTCAAATTTGGTCAAAATATCTAATTTTGCGTTGGAGTTAAAGACATTTATATGTACGAGAGCGTAAAAAATGACCCACGGCTGGCTTTGATTGGATCAAAGATTGGGGGGGGGGGGGGAAACCATTTTAACCAGTGACCAATGTTTCCAAACCTCCTACGATGGTTTCGTCATGATCGGTCTAATGGTTTCAAAGATATTGGCAAATGTTTTTTTAAGTGCTAATTTACATTGTGCTAACCTTAAGGCAAAACATGGAATGTTTGGTATCGTTAGACTCGGCAAGGATTCCGGAAGGACATGACTACTGTGAAAATAAGTCAACCAAATCCAAAGTTATAATAAATCATTTTCCACAATGGCTGATATGGAAAAATTGGATATCAGTCAACTCAGCATGACACCCTGAATCTAACAAAATCACTTTTATGATTTTAGGACAAACCATTCAGATGTTATATCCAAAAATATAAACAAACATTTTTTATATCTCTGGACCAATAAGTTGTGCTGTCCCGAAACACAGCATGTAGCCTCAGGTCATGCTTGTGATGACATTTACTAAGTTTGGTCTTAATACGATAAAGCGTTGCGGAGATACAGCCTTGCGTCCGTTTTTGCAAGCGCTACTTAAAATTGCGCGGTTACAAGAACGGTTTGCCGGCATGGTATGAAGATGATCTATTTCAATTTTCATGAAAATCAGAGCAACCATTCGATGAGTTTGTAAAAGTTTTTTTTTTTTTTTTTTTCGATTTATATGACGGAAAATTACGTCATATGATGCAATAAAGCCCCACAAAGCCGTGTCATGCCTAACTATGCCCCTTAGCTGTTCTAAATTTACTGTAAAACATGGCTTTAAGTGGCTTATTGCTTTTATAAAACGGTTACTCAATAAAAATATAAATTTTAATATTTAGCTTATTCATAAAATAAACACCAGAAACAAAAAATAACGTCATAACACATTTATTCCTCCGCCAAGCAATGTAGTTCCAATGAAGTTGCCAAGCAACACATGCAGCAACAAAGAATCACAAACGTCAGTTGCACAGTAATGGGCTCTATGCACGGCGGTATTTCCGGTGAAGCATTAGGGATGCTCGATAACTTCCGCCGATCGTAGAGTCCAATGCAATACCGAGAATTTATATTGAATTTTATACTCCATGGTTATAATAAAGAAA